TCTTCCAGAACATAAGAAAGAAGCCATCGACAGAATCATGGAAGAGAATGAGCTGGCTGAGAAAGGCTACCGAGTCCAAGATATTGCGTGGCTAAAGAGCAAGGACAAATCACTCGGCCAATCAGCATCTTTAGGCGTGTGGCTTGACAAGTCAAGCCTGTACAATGCTTGGACTGGGCTGTTGAATGAGTGTATGAGCCCCGAGCGGTAGGAGGAAGCGTAGAGGAATTAGCTAGTAGTGGGCTACATAGACATCTATCTGCACAGCTAATGGAATAAATCAAATCAAATCAAACCAAATCAGAATCCGAAGGCGCAATTGCAAACAACTGTACAAATCAGCGCATAATGCCCAGTTTCAAACTCAAGTGGGAATGGCTTTTGCCAAGTATCTGGACGGCTTGTCACAGGCCGACAGGAATTTCGGTACGAACGCCAATGAGCGTTGGGTAATGTTCGGGTTAAAGCGTCTCTTGCACTGGCGAAATGATCGTCACTTAACCCGTCACGTGGTGTGGTAAATTCATGGACCAACCGAGAGGGGGTGTTGGTTCTTTAACCAATCGGTGGGCGAGTTTGTTCACGCTTATTCGTCTGATTGGGAAGCCACAACCGGACGCGATGATTGGCTTGTCCTTAACGACAACTACAAATCGACGGCCCACCTTCATTCCTCGCTCAACTCCTGAGTGCCCTCACGATGGACATGATCTCCTCACGACACTGCCCACAAAATCTCCACCTTATCGGATCGGCCAGATGCGTTTCTCGGTGTGAGCAAGCCGTGTCGGGAGGGAGGGCTGGCGCCTCTCCCGGCGAGCTCGAGACCTCGTGGTGGCTTGCCATTTGAAGTTGGACAACTTCGGCCATGTCGACCACCACTGCACTCTGATCCGCTTCCTCCAAAACGTCGGCCGCCGCGATGGCTTCACCCTCGTCCTCGCCCCGAAGATCTTGCCTCCCCGGCGGTGATCCGCCTTCCGCAGCTGCCCCGTGCCCGTCCAGGCTCAAGCCTTCGATTTCTTGGTCGAGCTGCTCTGTGAATGAACCCTCGTCAGACATGTCGGAGTGCGTTGCAGAACTGAGGGACGGGAGAGAGGACCGTCGCGAACGGTGGTCCCGAAGAGATGTGAACAACTCTAGACAGAGAGGTCCGCCGCTCGCACGGATGGCGTCCAAAACGTAATCCTCGTCCTCTAGACGTCGAGCGCGCAACGCCGTCCGCGTTTGTTCCCGGAACCACGACAGGAAGCGAGCATCCGGCGTGGTCGGGGATTGAAACATCTTCTGCGCGACCGTCATAATGCTCGCGTAGTCGACCTGTTCAATTGACAAAATCCGACCCATCGCCTCTTCTTGGAGGGAGGGAATGTCGAGTTGAATCCCCAGGCGGAGGAGAATCCCACAGCGCGTCAACAAACAAGCAGGGGCTTGCCCATCCGGAAGCCGTGGGTTGAGGGTCGAATCGAACCGTTCGTAGTCCTGGCCGTACAAATAACACAGGAGAATCTCAAAGGCGGCTTTTTCCACGTCCTTGAGGACGACGGAGTTCTCCTGTCCCGAGACCTGCACCTTTTGGCAGAGAACCTTCGACGGTGACAAGAAGCCCGAGTGGATCGAAAACGGAGCCCGGTCGTGTCCCACCTGGATGGTGACGATTCGAGAGGAAAATACACTGGGGCCATCCACGGTCAACACCCGAGATTCGGTCCGCAATGGTGCCATCGCGGTGACTTACCTCCCATTGCCCGTCGCAGCACGCCCCGCTTGGGCTTGCCCACGTGAATCACAGTTCGGCACATTGGTGGTTACATCACCTCTTGAGGTTGCATGGGAAGGGCGAGGGGCGGCCGCCAGAGCGGGCTCCGAAGAGGGCGTTGAATTAGACACCGACCTGGTCGTTGTCGCGGTGCGAGTGGTGGCAGCCGCCGGGGCTTGGGTGCCCTTCTTTTTCGCCATGGGACTGCAAAATGGCACGGTGATCAGAGGACATTCGCGGTTGGGATCGAAACATCGTTGTGCGCTGACCGCTCGTCGCTTTATACCCGAGTACGACCCAGACGACAGACGTGCTGCGGCGAAGTGTGGAGAAGCCTCGAACATGTCGACTAACACCCCTCACCATCATCGAGTGAAGGGGTCCGTGGGATGCCGTCGCTATCCGAATGTGGAATTGGATGAGAATGACTCTCGACGTGTCTTCGGACGACCTCACCTCATTGTATGCGAGGTGACGTGATGAACTCGAAAAACAAAGAGCACTGTAGTCGCTCTGTCCGCACTGGCCACCTCCTGGTCAAGGCGAGGGATCGGGGTCTCCCGAAGAGCGCTATGGGCGGGGGACGGTTGTTTAGCACGGCCCGTCGAATGGCCTGCGGAGGCGATATATGGGCCGCACGAGCCAGCGAGAGAGCCGAGTCTCTAGACTTTATCGGACTAAATATCGGATCTGACCAGGTCTCGAGAGCTGAGTTCTCAGCCTCACACAGTTTTCCTGGCGCCCTCTTTGAAGCTCGCACATGACGCTGGAACAGGGATGACCAGTTTTTGGGGGGAGGGGAGTAAAAGGGCACATCATTCTCCCGGAAATGGTCCTTGACTAACCCTGGGACGCGGGAGACGTTTACGCCGAAACGCACCTCAACCCCGAGTCAATGATATAGACCTTCAGTCCTATTACTCCCACTGAGGCCATCCATGGAGAATGGATCATCCCACTTAAACTTCAATAGCGTCACGACACTGTTACAGTATCGTGAGCGTGGGCCAACCTTGACGGTTCAATCTAGAAGTGCAATTCCACCATCGACCCGACGTCGTTCCTCGAAGGAATGAAGGGTGAATCAGGTGGAATACTCCAGGGTGGCCAGTATCGAGGGAGAGGGGGTGAAGATAGAAGGCCTTTTCTCAATTTATCTCGCTCATTCCATCCTCTCTCCCTCCCCTCTCACCCTCACTCTCGTTCTCCTCGCTGACACTCTCGACTCTTTCTTCCCACACTGTCTGACATCGTAGCCACGTCAAAGGGCATGGCCGAACACTTGTCCGGTAAGTTCTCCGCCGCGTCACAACCCGTGTCAGGCCTAAGCACATTGAGCTAGAATTATCCTCCCTCCTTTCCAATTTACCGGCCGCATTTCCGACAGCGCCTCCAATCTGTTCCCGCTGTGGCACGGCCAAAGACGTGTCGTGTCACGTGACAGGAGCCGACAACACCAACAATAACGCCGGACGGCCATTCTATAAGTGTGGTCATTGCGACCGTTTTCTGGTGTTCGCCGACTCCCGGGGCAATGATCCCGCCAATCGTCCTTGCCACTGCGACAGCTCCAGTAAGAGGCAAGCTACGGGCCCTTACAAAGGGTTTCAGGTTCACTACGTCTGCCGGCTGGGCACATGCGACTATTACGAGGCACACCGCGACGCCAACGGCGCTCGCTATCGCCTTGATGCCTTCAGTCTCGCCCCACTGATCGAGCTCGGTGTCCTTTGAGAGTGGCGGACGGCCGGATCGTTGCTCGGCGTCGCAGTTGGATGTCCCTTGTCCGCGTCGTCATCCTCGCGCCGTGGCGACCTCTAGTCGGACCGTTTAGGATAGGGAGAAGCCAAGCGGGAACTGCCATATACTCGTACTAGCTTCGATCTTCTTGCTGCTACTGTAGATAGTGAAAGAGAAAGAGATGCCAAGTAGTACTAAGCGGCTAGGGACAATATTAGAGCGGTTACGTAACCCGGCAGCGGGATCCCTTGACGTTCACAATCCATCGCACGACCTGCAAGCTGCCCCGCACTAGCTGCGTCTCTGCCGTTTGGTGTACTGTAACAATGCCGACATGATTCTCGCTCTTGATGCCCCTATACAGTCTCATTCAAAGTGCTACGTTCCATATCATGATGGTCCGATCCTCCGAACATGACGCGAGCAGCAGGCCGTCGGGTGAGAAGGCGACGGATCGGACGACTTCAGTGTGACCCTCCAATTTCCGGGCCTCTCCCGTTCTCGGTTTCCATAGTCTCGCCGTCCCATCGAGGGACGCTGACGCGAGCAGCGAGTTGTCAGGTGAGAAAGTGACCCCCCAGACGGCACTAGTGTGGCCCTCTAGCTTGTGAAGTTGCCGGCCGGAGTCTACGCCCCATATCCTGACGGTTTCGTCAGATGAGCCCGACGCGAGCATCGAGCCGTCGGGTGAGAAGGCGACCGTCCAGACGGTGCCCGTATGCCCCTCCAGCTTCCGCGTCTGCTCAGTTTTCGGCTTCCACATCCTGACCGTCTTATCTGTTGATGCTGACGCCAATAGCAAGCTAACAGGTGAGAAGCTAACGTGTTGCACGGGAGCGGTGTGGCCCTTCAGCTTCCACTCTTCCCGTCCTGTGCTCTTATTCCATAGCGTCACCGTTGTACAATCTATGATTGACGCCACTAGCAAACCGTCGTGCGAGAAGGCCACCCGGTTTGTGAAGGACCTGGACGGGCCCTTTTGCTTCCATATTTCCCGCCCCGTGTTCAAGTCCCACAGCATTGCTTCCTCATCCCACGAGGCCGATACAAGCTGCGCGCCGTCGGGCGAGAATGCCACGTTGAGGACGCCGAGGTTGTGGTATAGCTCTCGTACTTGCTCCCCCGTTTTTGGGTTCCACAGCCTAACGGTGCCATCATATGAGCACGATGCGAGCCGTGAGCCGTTGGGCGAGAAGACCACGGAGATAACCACACTAGTGTGCCCCTCTAATTTCCGTAGCTGCCGTCCTGAGCTCACATCCCATAGCCTGATGGTCATGTCATGTGACGCCGATGCTAGTAGCAAGCCGTCGGCCGAGAAGGCCACCCTGGTCACCCATTCAGTGTGACCCTTGAGTTTGTGTGACTCCAGGGGCTCCATTGCTCGAGTGACCGTATATGGGGTCGCAGGGACGGATTATCCAGGACGGTGTGCAGTTACAGTACCAATGGACAATCCGAATTTCTGCAAGGAAAATTTCATCGATGACTCCATTTGAACCGCGGCTTGCTTACTGTAGTATTTAAGCGCCGCAATTATCTAATTTACCTGTAGGATATCTCTCGGGGGGGGGAGAAACACTGGCCGGTGTTGGCTCTTGCCCTAACCGCATCCACCGGCCAATGTTGTGGTTCGCTCCCGGCCCGACCGTCCTTGAGTTGCTCCAAGGAAATCGTCCCTGCCTCTCCGCTCGACGGCGTAAACCGGTCCACCGAGACAAAAGCGGATGCGATGCGATGAGGTGAAATCGTTGATTCTGTGAAGCAGTGGACACTGAGCTCGAGATAGGATAGGGCCAGTTTCTCTCTTTCGGGTTGGTGGAATGCGCCGTGATTGGCGGCTTCGAAAGCGCCTGTCGGGTTGGCGGAATAGAACCTGAGAATCAACAATTATTTACTGTGGTTCTTCTGGACATCTCATGAACTCCCAGCTTTTGTTGGTGATCGACTGCTTTCATCCAGGCAGTATCAGTCGGCGGGCCGCCTTGTCGCATCCAGAAGTCCTGCTGCCGAACCCATTGCAATCCATTCTGCCTTAACAGTTCTTCAGCACCGGCTTGGTCGCGCCTTTTCACACGTCTCAGTGCTTCTTCGGCGATTGCCAATTGCGTGGGAGGTTCGGGTTCGTCCTTCAGATCATCGTTCAGTGTAAGCATTCCCAAGTTGCTTAGAATGGGCTGAACGATTTCGGAAAATAGCATCAGCGCTTCTGAGTGGTGCCCTTCGTCTTTCAATGCGTCCGCCAACGTCGTCCGCACCCACAGACATTCCCTATTGTTTTGGCCTCTCTTGTCCCCCACAGTCTCCTCGACTACTCGAGTCAGGTCATCGATTGGCTCACGGCTTTTCCCTTGATCCAATTTGATCAGTGCGCGGAGATGGGTCACCTGGCACTCACGCTCGAAATCATCTTTGAAAATAGTCGACGTTTCAACTTGGTCCAGCAGCTCCAGAGCATCCTCGCAGTGATTCATCTCTCGTAAGGTGGTGGCCAATTGTATGCCAGAGTCAACGGTCGTGTTGCTATTGATAGTGAAGAGTCTCTGTCGAGCCTCCCACGCAAATACAAGATTGTCTCTTGCCTGAAGGTAGTCGTGTTGCTTGCGATACACGGACCCAAGTGATGTCCTAGCCATGAGAGATAGGCCGTTCTCCTCGCCGCCTATTGGGGCCCAATTCTGCAAGATCGAGTTGTACATCTTCAATGCTGATTCTGTCGCCCCTTGTCGTTCCAAGACCCACCCCATGTAGAGGTC